CACTAACTTTCACCTCCTTATTCAGTCTCTGTGTGAGAATAACAGTACATTATCAATTCTTGAAAATACAATTTACATTCATACCAGTGTACTAATGGACCTTAATACTAACACGTGAAGCTTTATACCCAACCCTCACACAATGAAACTGTACATAGATGACTAGGGAATAAAAGATTTCTTTTACTGACACTTCTGTTTGAATAAAGATTATGTACGCCAGAAACTTTAGATGTGCTGATGGTTGTTGGCATATTTATAGGCTATTTAAAATCTTATAACCAGGACCCCGTATTGTCCAAGATGTATAAATACGTACAGAAATATAATTGAATGCATGGGTTCTGAAAAAGAAATTATCCTCAAGTGCAGAGTGTAGGAGACTTTATAAATCATACTCCTTTGAGAGTCTATTGAGGGGGGAGTATTATCGTATAATCAGAATGGTTTGGGTTTGAAGCGACCTTAAAGATCATGCAGTTCCAAACCCCCAGCAACTGGAAGGCGCACCTTCCACTAGACCAGGTTGCTCAAAGCCCCACCCAGCCTGGTCTTGAACACTGCCAGGGATGGAGCATCCACAGCTTCTCTGGGTATCCTGTGCCAGTGCCTCACCACACTCACAGTAAAGAATTTTTTCTTAATATCTAATCTAAATCTACCCTATTTCACTTTCAAGCCAACCCCTTGTCCTATCTCTACATGCCCTTGTAAAAAGTCCCTCTCCAGATTTCTTGTAGGCCCCTTTCAAGTGCAAGAAGACTGTTACAAGGTCTCCCCTGAGCCTTCTCTTCAGGCAGAGCAGAGAGGAATGAAGAAAAAATGTTTCCATCTCCTTGCTGATGCCTGTCATGGGAAAGCTCTTTGTTAGTCTGGTTTATTTAACCACTAGCTGGGAAGAACGGCACAACCCACAGTGCTGAGTGTCAGCAGAGGTGGAACCTCTTTGGACTTCCTGATGTCAAGAACCAACACCTGGTTCTCTCTGCCAGAAAAGCATCTCCAGGGCAGAGCTCCCATATTCATATGAGTGGCTCCAATAGATGTGTTTTGTCTTTGATTTATAGTTGAAATAATTTAAATATTTCTCTGCAAGGGTGCAAATTTGCACTGAATTCTGGCATTGGTGGCATTAAGACATTTCCTACGTTAACAAGATGGTAGGGGAGAGGGTGAATAGAAAGTTTGACTATGAATCACCTAAGGGAAATAATTTTGAGGCAAGTTGATATTTATAGTGATTAAGCAATTGTCTAAGGTTTTGATCCTTCAAAGAGGCATGAATATAAACTTTAAATCTGCGACTTGTCATACCAAAGACGGTTCTGTGACTGCAAGTGACATTGCTTTTATGTTAACAATCATCATACCTAAAGTTAGGCTGGGATTTTTTTTTTAAGATTGCTTATGCAGATTCCTTCTTCTCCTGTAAAAAGCCCAGATTTGCTATAAATTTGAGCTGACAGAGCTAAGCCACTTGTCTGAGGCTGTTCTACAGTAAAATTGTTTTATACTCTTGACAGCTGATTAACACAGAGAGTTCCCTGACCAGCTGATGGTTGAGAAATGCCATGTTTAAAGAGCCCCTTTTGTCTTATTGCCTGTCTTTGTGCACTGTGAAGAAAACAAAGAAATGTTAGCCCAATCCCAAGGTCACATTAGTTATATTTGCACATCTGTCTGTAAAGAAAATAATATATCCCTGGTGAATGACTTGTTTTCAAAATAAAGGAGATTGCACGAGAAAAACTATTACATTGCAAACTTCCCTGCAGCACAAGACATCAGGCCTGGGCCACAAAATGAGATTTGGGAGCCACAGGAGCTCACTATTCACTAAAAGCTTATCTCAGAGTATAGTGCCCCTGCCCTTTTTATTCACTTACCTGAATTTATCACTGTGACCCGTAAAATAGTTATCAGTACCTATAGGGCAATGATACACTGGACTTCAGTTGGTACTTGCCCAATTGCCTTAATCCAAGGTCTGCAAAGGTGTGTTTCATCTCTTGCCACTCAGAGGGAAGCTGCTGGGCCTTAGCTGCTCTGCTGCTTCATGAAGACTACCGAGAGAAGAAGGATATTATGGGATCATGCCCTTTTTTCAGCATTTTGGACACATCTCTGCAGAAAAGAGTAAAAGGCTGTATTTCACAGCTATGATATCATTCTTGTAAGCTATATTTCAGCATGAGCCACTATAAAACCTCCCCCATGACATCAGAGCTGTGAAATATAGCCAACTTCAAGTGCACAAAATTCCCCCATAGGAATAATTGTTTCCTGGCAATTGGCATTTGAAGGACTGATCCTTTGAAAGGCTGGCACAAATCCTGTCTAGGTAGCACTCGAGGCAGCACTGCTCAGGAAATGTTATGTGCAGGAGCAGAGGTATGGAGCCCCGCTGTGGGGTTTGTCCATAGGGGTAATGGGATGAGCACTGGGGGAGCCTGTCAAGTGATAATCTTCGCTTCCTCATGCCTCAGCAATCCATGCAGACTTCACTAATAGCAAAATAATAGGTTTGCTCATATGCTGCACTCCCTACCTCAGGCCCTGCCTTCGCAGTAAGGCAAGCCACACGCACACAGCCAGAGCTACCATCTCATCTGTCTTTTCACGTCTGTGAGCACAGATTACGATGGGTGTGCTGCTACATGGCAGCTTGCCAGGGATGCTGTTGCTGGGGCAATAATTAACTCACCTGGGCAGGCCCCAACCTCCCCACAAAGCATCCTAGCAAGAACACAGAAGTCCTGAGACATAATCTCCTCTTTTATATCAAGTCAGGGAAGATGCCCACCAGATCAGCTCCACTCAGAGCTGGGGTTAGAGTGGTGGATGTTGGCAGAGCCATAAAGGACGATACCCTACACGGGTCAGAAGGGTACAGGAGAAGGGTAAGAGAGACTATGAATGGAGAGAGAGTTAAAGCCGCCTCAGCTCTCCCTTGCCTGGTATCTTAATCTGCCCATGTCCCCCTCTAGCGACCTGCACATTTACTTGCCAGTGCTCCATGAACAGCACTGAAGGCAATTGTTGAACACATTGTGAAGCTTAGTTATGCTGGCGTTTTCTGTTCCTCCTCTGAGGAGGTCTTCTTGTGGTGGGCAGGGGGACTGTTCTTGCTGTTATATCTCTCTGTGTGCATGTTTACATGTATATGTATATAACCTTGTGTGTCTGTGTCTACCCTCAAAACACTCAGAGCCTTATGTGGACACGGCTCCCATGACCTACAGGACACAGTTGTTTTTACCTGCAGACAGTTCACTGGCATTAGTGAGAGCTAACTACAAACCTTCCCTCTTCTCTGGAGGAAACTACACTGCGTCAGAATTAACTGCAACTTTTACATTCTTCCTCTTAATGCTGGAAAACTGACTCCTTACATTTTTACAATATTTTACCTTGTGAAGCAGTAAAATTATTGTTTGAACAGCCCTGTTCCATTACCTACTATTCATCTAAAGGCTAAGAAAATTATTTACTAAAAGGAAATGTAAGAGACTTGATCTTCTATTATACAATTACAATGACGACTAGGAGAGTGGCTAACCCGAGGCATTGCAAATGCTTTAACTCCATCAGTGTAGCTCAAAGGTTAAATTCTGCCTGATTCACATCTTTAAAAAAAAACAAACACACATCGGGAAAAAATTGGCCTTTGCTATAGATTATGATCCAAGTAGTGTTGCATGAAAACACAGAATAAAACAAATTAAAAAAATCTATTTTCAATTTGACTGTCATTCCACAATCTTAGTTTACAAATATTGAGAGTTGCTCCATTGAAGTTTGTGAATGATTCATTGGGCTTTGATCAGAATATTGAAAAAAATAACTTTTTCAAAGAGCATTTGTGTGAAACTAAAGAAAAATTAATTAAATGATACTTCTCTAAGAGTATGGATCTGTTCAGACTAAAAATTTAACAAAGTATTTATGAAAAATATATGTGGTGGAATGTTTCTGTCAAGTAATTCTGTTCTCTTCACATTATAAAATGTTCCAAAGCTCGTTTATTAGGCATTTTGCAGGACTGGTTACATGAGACAGACAATATAATTTCTTATTCCTGAAAAGAAGCTTTCAAATTTAAAAAAAAAAAAAAACCAGAACTGTCTGCACTGTACCCTGGTACTATATGTGTAGCTTTTTTTTTGTGTGTGTGTGTGTGATAAAAATCATGCAATCTTCAGAGATAAGGATAATTTTCATAATTATTTTGTAGGTGCACAGATACTTAGTATTAATAATAGTAGAAAGTAGTAGCTAGTAAGAGCCCACAGGTAAAGATGAACTAGCAGATTTATTTTTTTTTAGAAGATATTAATGAAAGTATTAACATATAAAGTTATGCATTTAAAGATCTAAAACTCAGTACAAAATTCAGTAGGTAACTGAGAAAACCAGAATGTCCACTTCCTATGCAGTATCAAACAGGATAGTATGTGGGAGATATTAACAAATGTGCACATTTAATTCACTTATCTGTTTGCCTGACCCTTCTTAAATGAATTCAAAGGGACAACTCCTTGAATGTGAAGGAAAAATCCTGGAGTTACCTAAGTTCAGGCTCTTCAGCCCATAACAGAACAACAGAATGCCTCCTGGGAAGACAGTGAGCAGTCTTGCTAGCTCTTCTTCCATGTAAGGAGGTAACCTCATTGAGATCACCAATCAGAAACTAATCAGTTATATCCCAAAGCTCAAGCAGCAAAAAGATAAATGCCTGGTTTGCCTTAGTTGATTAATAGAATTAAATAAAGAGAAAAAAACAACCCAACAAAAAAACAAAACCACAAACATTGTGACTCCTTCCTACTCAGTATAAATTCACTCAGATTATTTGAAGGAATGCTTGCAACATTTTGAACCAGAAACAGCTCAGCTTTTCAGCAATCACTGTTACTATTCTACTTCTTTTTACTTATTTGCTGTAGTGATGAATATTAAGTACCTTTGAAAATGGTCAAAAAAGTTATTTTTCTTTTCAGAGATCCTTTGAGACTGCAAAGACTATTTAAAGAAGGAAGACAGCATGAGATTGGATTCAGTGCAGTAAAGTAGGTTAATCTGAGGACAAGACAAAACCCCATTATTTAGACCTTCTTGTGTTGCCGTGATGAGAACTTATCATTGCTTCTGGCTGCTGTTTTGGGCTGGTCAGCCCCACCAAACTTTCTTAACTCCGCTATCCCAAAGGACTAATGGCTTTCCAGAAAAGGGAAAAGTTTTGGTGTTGTCTGGAAACAGCAGGCAAGATATCCGTCGTTCCAAAAGAAGCTGGATGTGGAATCAGTTCTTTTTATTGGAGGAATACACAGGAACGGACTACCAGTATGTTGGCAAGGTAAGATTCTTACATATGCATTCTGTATTTTGGTTTTAGAAACACTGGTTACTACACTTCAGCTTCAAATTGTAATCAGCAACAGGAAGTTCCTCATTTAACCAGTAAATCCCATGGCAAATCATGCCCAATTATGTTAAAGATTTTCCTTTTTATTTTCGGCTGGAAATGATGCAGCTTAATTACAGAGTTGTCTAGGCTAGATTTTTAGCTTTAAACTGTAACAAGCATCTTCCCTCATGCTCATTAATTTTGCTGAAGTCAAAGTATATAAACCAGAAAACTTTCTGGTCCAAAATATTTAGGATTAACAGTACACATACTTCGGTGAGGATTCTCCCCAGCAAAAGGCAACCATCTCCCTTTTTATTTCCCACCCTTTCTCATTTTTATTAAGCACACAACAATGCTTGCAGCCATTTTCTGATGAGGTTTTGTGGACTCTCTAACATGACCTTAATACCACAAGCTATGCTATTACAAAGGGTTGAAGCTCACTGTGCATACACACTAAGAAGCAAAAGGCAGCTGAAGATTTTTAAGCTCAAAGCATGCTAACAGTTAGAAAAGGGTCTGTAAAAATAATAATGAAAAAAAAAAAAAAAAGGCACAGCTTAACTATGAGAATATCCACCTCCCTGAGCAGCAGACCCCATGTAGGTAACAACCTTTGTGTGAATCAAAGAGCTAACGCACTTGTGGTAGGTCTAAGGAGAATCTACACTGCCCAAGGTGCCACAGTCTATAGGAGTCCCTCTTGCAGAATGTAGAAATTATGCTATTGATGGTGACATTCAAAGCAGAAACAATAAAGCTTAGTTTTCCAAACTGAAATGGGATTGCATCTAATCTAGTTTGATCTCTCAAGCCTTTTAGCAAAGTCACAGTGGTTTTGATATTTTATCTCCCTCTGCAAGCTTCCGAGCAATCCCATGAGAGATGGTGGCTGCTTTTCTTGCCTGCCAATCAGCCGTCAGTCAAAGTTGGGTGTGACACTCCTTTCCTGCTAAATGGCTGCAAGGTACAATTAGCGTAATACTCATAGAGCTGTGACCAGAATAATCAGCATTCATAAAAGATACAATTGAACTCAGTTTATAGGAAAAAGCTGAAGGCAGAAAGTCCCCAGAGAGCAGAAATAGAGAAGGAAGACAAGAGGGTAAGGAAGCAAGGGGGAGGGAAGAATAAGAAGGAAGAACCAGATAAAACAGAGGTGGAAGGAGAAGAAAATTTACAAAGAGGAATCAAGATAGAGGAAGGAAAAGTGATATCAAATGGGAGTAGGAGATAGGAGTTGGGAGAAAAATGTTACCTAAAGAGAGCACATATGAAAACAGTAGATGAGTGAAATTAAAAAAAAAAATAACCCCAACAGGTAAGAAATATGGGGGGGGGGGGGGGGGAAGAAAGCAAATTAGAAGACAGCAGTCCTCTACATGCTCTTCTCTTTTACAGTCTGCTGAGGAGGTGGGGGTGGGGGTGTTCAGTGTAATGGTAATCTCTTTCTCCGAAGGTAAAGCATATGGTACTGAGGTAGGTTTTACAGCCTGTCAATTTCACTGTGAATTTTAACATTAAACCTGCTCAGCCCCAAGTCTCTCATTCTCTCTGCTGAAGAGCTAGAGTAGAAGCTACTGCCTTCAGAGGGAGTGATGGGGGAGCAAATATTACCACAAAATGAATTTACTGAGTAAAAAACAGTGTAGTTGAAACAGAAAACCAAGTAAATTTGAATTGGAGGCATTGATAGGAAAAATAATGTGGATGTTATTTTTAAAGGTTGTTCTTCTACCTATTGTACTTCAATACACTTCTTATTATAAGGCATAGAAACAACACTTAACGTAAATGTCATTGATTCTGTTTTCCTGGGGTGTTCACAAGTGGCCTTTCACATGTCTTACAAATGCCAGAACTGCTCACACCCTTGTAATTGAACAATTAGCCAAAAGGCATGGAAGAGCAGCCATTTATTATTAGAGAAAGTTGAGTATTGGTGTGAGTATAACTGATAGAAACAGCTGAATGTCTCCAAATTGAGGTAACCGGGCAATTTAACTGAGCAATTAAACTTGATTGGTGTGGGCAAATGAGGATAATGAACATGTTTCTGAAGCATATTTTTTTCTCAGAGGACTAAATGTTAACCTTGAGTATGAACTGAAAATGGTAAGAACATTCACTTATAGTCTTCTTATATTATAAAGAAATGTGAACAGGAAAATGTTTTAAAACAATAGCAGTATAGGTTTGTAAAGGGGAATTGTGTTTATGTCTTACTGTATAAGCAGTCAGACCTGGATCTTCTGAGTTTTCTTTTGTGCTTACTGGCTAAAGCTTGTGGGAATTAACATCATAATTACATTTAAAAAAATTCCATGTATACTACAAGAAGAAAAATCTTTTACTCATGCTGGTTTTACTTTTGTCTTTTCATTTGTAAACATCTTTATTTCAAACATCAAAATTTGAGATGCAAGAAGTCTGTTGTGAAGGATTTTAATAGCATTATTTCTATGAACTGCCTAGATTACAGTTGTAAAATCCTGTAACCGTTATACTGAAAACCACACTTTTGTATCATAATTTTAGAGAGAAGGGAAAGAAAAGTGGAAGAAAATGGTTTCAGGTTTAAGATAATAGAAAAGGTACTCTCTCTGAAAATATTTCTTAAGGCAGTACTGAAGGCAATACTGAAGCACCACCTGAATCATGGACCAGGGTACTCCTGTGCTCCGTACCCCATATACTCTATAACCAATGAAATCAAATGCTTTCCATCTGTTAGGAGATAATTGTCTAGGCACATGTGAAATAAAATAGCCCTGTTTTTGATACCCATGCGTACTGTCAGCTATTAAAAAGTGCTCCCCAGTTTTGTATGCTACACACTTTACTGTCGGTAAAGTATGCTGCTGTATCACACTGGACAAGAATATGCGGCTGCCAGAAAGAAGCTCTTGTCAGTACAAGGTGATTGTATGCTTTGGCTCTGAAACCAGATTCATCATTTTATTATACAGTTCTTGTATTTCTGAATTTCTCTATATTCATGAAATAAGACCTTTTAGAAAGATAGAAACTCACAACTTGTCTTGGTTAGTCTCAGACATAATAATATAAGGGACTCGTAGAAAAGTTCTAGACTGGAATTATTCATTGCACTGCTGAATAACTTGTGAACTACAGCTATTCATTGAAGTGTGATTGATAGGCACAGTGACATTTTAACCTGAAGATATCTTTTCTTCTGTTTCAAGAATTATGGCACTTGGTAGGGACTCAGTCCCAAAATAAAATAAAATATTACATGAGCATTGAAGTAGAGAAGTGCCCAGCGCTACTACCCTAGCCAAAATCTTCAACATTTGATTTGGGTTTTAAAAGAGTTCTAGTTATGCTTAGTACAATTTTAAAGGGCTGAAGTGAATGCATCTCTAAATCCCAGGTAAATGACAAAATGGCAGTGCAGCTGTACATAGAAATGGATGCTACATTCCCTAGTCTTCAGATATTCCTGGGCAAAAGAGTAAAAAAAAATCTGCCCTACTCCAGGGTTATATTGAAAGTATAGTTGTTACTTGTATGCACTTTGTCTTTGCATGCTGTCCCATTAGCTACATAAAGTCCATGTATTGGCTTCCATCATTGAGTGGTCTTGTGAGTGAGCACAAACCTACAAATCATTGTTATGTAAAGGGATAGGATGCTGCTTTCTTTTAGGCTAAAGAAAAATCTGAACAAGTCTTAAATCTTACTTATTAACTCAGAAACAGCTTCTGGCAGACTGCAGTGGAAAGGAGCAACTTGCTTTCCTGATAACAACAGGCATAACCATGGAACAGTTTTGTCACACTCAGTCTATCTGGCACTAAAAGGAAACTTCCAGACATACTTTTCATTTTTGCAGTCTTATTGATGTTCATATAGTTCAAGCAGTATGCTAGCCTGGAAGCTATCTGATGTTATTACCTGTATAACCTATCATAAATAATCATCGTCTGCTGACAACTCCATTTTTCAAGGAAGATAAAGTCAAAGTCCTGCTGCTGTGTGGCTTGGCAAAACAGAAAGGATACTACATTGCTGTAGGCAAAATCAGAATCCTTTTGTCTGATGCTTAAAGAACTACGGGGAACGATAAATTCCTCTCTGTCAGGAACAGTTTAAGGTACTGTTGATCCTGCTTTGGAGGAGGAGGGGTTGAACTAACTGGTATCACAATATAGTTTCAGTACCGGTTTTCTTTCTTTTACCAAATTTTACTTCTGGCTATAACTATTCTGAAGGCAAGTAGAACTGATCCATGCAGTGTATTTCTCCAGAAGCAATTCATACAAAAGGTAGAATCTCTCCAACCCACTGCAAGCAATAAGTCACATACTGAGACACAAATATCTGACTGTGAGTACACACAAGGGGGTATTTAAACAAGAGGTATCATATCTTAATTGAATGACATGACTACTAGCAAGAGAAACCTTCAGTTTCTCTCAGATCTTCAGTATAATAGCATTCTAACCTCATCAAAACTTTTGTTCCCTGCAAAAAAACGAAGATGGGAAGAGTCAAACTAAAATGTTTCTACCCATTTGCACTTTTAACATCTTTTATGTAGTTCTACTGGCAAATGCTTGCTCAGTATTTGTTGTTTTTTTTGTTTTTTTTTTACTTTGTAACCTGCACTGTGATATACACCAAATGCCTTTAGTTTCCTATTCCAAACGCAGTGTTTGTTATCTTTGAGGCCTAATATTAAAAGTTCCACTTGTGACTTCCACTTATTCAGGAAGTCTACTCAAAAGAGTTTTCAGTTTGCTTTGACACTCAGAATATCCTTTCTCTAGGGCTAGATTCTGCACTATGCTTCCAGGAGAAATGGCAGCCCAAGAGCCAGGCTTTAAGTCTCTGAATGACCTCCCAGTCCTGAACAATTCCTGGGCTTGAAGTGACTCACAGCAAAACTAAAGACAGCTGTCAGTCATCCCTAGGTTGCCTCA